GGAGGCCCGGAATCCGGTTAAACAAACAGGCAGCACCAGCAACGCTGCCCAGGCGCCTCCCAGGCCTGGGCCGCTTCTGCCCGAGCCTCCCACGGCGCCGTCCTCCTGCAGGCAGGACACCTGGACTGCGGGCTGTGGGCACAGGCTGGCCGCCTGGGCTGGAGACAGTTCCGCTTTCTGGAGCTCACTCTCCCTGTGGCGTCGGTCACCTCAGCGTGAAGAGGGCTGGGGTTTCCTGGTTGCAGGATCCCTCTCCCACGCCAAGCCCCTCTCCGCATCCTCTGAGCATTCAGCGCCTGTCGGATCGGGTGCGAGGGGAGGAAGTGTCCGAGCAGCGCCAGAACCCGGTCTGCAGGCCGCCTGGGTCCTCGGGGACCGCCCCCCCCGCCCCGTCTGGCTGTTTGCTGGTTCTTCCCTCCTGAACTGAGTGAGCTGTGCAGCCCGAGGACCAACCTCTTACAGCCGAGGCCAGGGCTGTTCCCGACCAGCAGACACCACCGCCCTGCGCTCGGATGGAGACAGCAAAGCCAAACCCGGTGCCCGTTAACCCCAAAGTGCGGCCCCGAGGGCCATGTCGCTGGGCTCCTCCGAGCCCGTAAGCCTGGGGGCTGCCCCAGCCCTCGCTCAGGCCCTCAGGGGGCTTCGTCCGCAGCACGGCATCCGGGCGTGCACCGTGTCCAGCCCACCCTGTGGCCCGCGGCTGGCAGGGGACACCTCCGCTGTCCTTTCCCTCGGCCGGCCCTCAAGCACATCTCAGGAGCGGGATTCCCGCCACAGTCCAGGCGCGCTTAGCTGGTCTGATGGGAGCCCTGTGCCACCGGCAGCTAAGCCGGGAGGGGCCCTGTCCAGCCCCAGAGTGGGCTGTACGGGGGCCTTGGTTGGCCAGCTGTGGAGCATCCCACAGGCCAGGAGCCCCCGCAGGAGCCTTGCTGGCTGACAGGCTTGGCCGCCGGTGAATTGGTTTGAGTTCCCAGACTGGCCAGGGCGGAGAACGGAACGGCTTTGGGGAAGCAACTGGACTTGCTGGGCCTTGGGTTCCTCGTATGGCAGAGAAGATGCTTCTCATCAGGTGGCTGTGAGGGTCGGCGGGGAGGCCATCAGGTGCCCGGCCAGCGCCTGGCAGGTAGAGGGAGTCCATAGCGACAAGCCCTGACACCAGCACCAGGCCCGGCGGGCGGGCCTCCGTGCAGCTCCCAGCGAGGGGCCAGCAGGGACTGTCAGGCCTGTGGGCTTTGGCCACATCCCAGGAAGGGTCAGCAGGGGGTGGCCAGAGGCCCCTGGCGATGGGAGGTGAGGAAGGACCAGCCGTGAAATCGGCGGGCGGCCAGCACTGCCCGGCGGGGACAGCGCCCTTTGCCGCCCTGCTCGAGGCACCTGAGGCTGCGTTGGTGTCTCAGGAGCCCAGCCCGGCGGGGGGAGGGAGTGGGGGCCCAGGAGGCGCCCGATTCCAGAGGAGAGACCGAGGCCATCGAGAACCGCCCCGAGACGGGAGGGAGAGCAGAGCTGAGAGGGCTGCTCTTCTGCATGGCATTCCCGCGGGCAGTGGGCTGCCCTCCTTTCTTGCCTCATCACCTGTCACCTCATCACCTGTCAGGTGGGGGCCGTGGAGGGAGGCTGTGTGCCCGGCCGGCCCTCACCCACCGCCTGGAAAGCAGCTTCCCCTGCGAGTGGTGTGGTGCCTGAGCGGGGGCCCTGGGCCCTGGATCCTCAGAGCGGAACTGACACCCGAACTCACCTCCACCCGCCGTTTATCTCCGCTCCTGCGGCTGGCAGTGGGGCGAGAGGGCCACCCCGCAGGCTCCGCTCCCTGCTACTTAAAACCCCGGGCAAACCCTGCGTCCCGTGTGCAAGCCGCCCGCGTGGAGTGTCCACCGCCTCCTGCGCAGGGCAGCGCGGATGGAGGGCGCGGGTGGCCGTGGCCGACGGGGCCCCTCTCGTGGGGAGATGCTTCCTCGTGGAGGAGGCTAGGAGTGGGGAGGCCGAGCAGAAAACGTCCCGTTGCTCTGAGCTCAGTGATGTGGGGAGGGAGGGTCGTGGGTCTGTGAACCATCAGAGGGCCCCAGCCCCGCTCTTTGCAGCCGGACCCCTGGTCTTTAGCCTCGGAAGAGAGGGCCAGGCCTGGAGGCTTCGAGTTCCCGGTTCCCTGATCTCTCCTGCCTCCCGGGTCGCGGGCTGCAGGCTCAGCGTGTCCCCAGGTCTCTGGAGAGCTGCGTCCCGACAGGGTGGCCTGAGCCAGCCCAGCTCCGTGGTCTTTGCTCCTCAGTAACTATGGCAGCTCCTCCGCTCAGCCCCAGCCTGACAGCGCCCGGGATGGCTTCAGAGAGCCCGCCCTGAACCCAGAGCTGAGGCTCCCCCATGACACCCCATGCTCTGCTGATGGCGTTACCTCCTGCTGGGACAGGGGGGTCTGTGTTATGCCCATTTTACAGGTAGGATAATAGTGCCTCAAGGCGGGTCAGGACTGTTCAAGGTCAGTCAGTGTCAGTGAGGAGGGCGGAGCCAGGACCCAGACCAGGTGGGCCTGCTGCCCGCACACCACATCACCTGCTCAGCCAATCCGCGTCCTAGGCCCCTGTTCCCCCGAGCCACCGTCCCCAATGCCTTCTTTCCTTCCCGAGTCCGTCCCCCATGCCTGTGCCGAGAGCCGCCTCGGGCCTTCCTTCCCACAAGTGCGCCTGTGCGGGGCCCCTCCCTGGCCTGGGACACAGCTTCCCTGGGTCCTCTGTTGCCACCGTGTCTACAGATGAAACATGAGGTGACACTGCAGCAGGTGGCAGTGGGCCTCGCCGATCATCCTCGGAGCGGCCTTGGCTGTTGGGATGTGGGAGGTCATTTCCCAGAGTCCTAGAGAGTCTGTCGGTCCAAGGAGTCTGGGGGACCAGCAGTTCCTCCTCCTAGACAGGCGAGGAAACCGAGGCACGAAGGAAGGCTAGGGGGTCAGCTGGGGGGAGGCAGGGGGTGGGGTCAGCCCTGGGTGAAAGCACTGCCCTCCCCCACCCGCCCTGGCCGGTCAGACCCGCCCCTCCGAGCTGGGCTGCAGGGACGTGACCAGCAGCTGGCGGCCGCGCGCTCTTCCTCCGGCCCTGCCCTGATGTCTTCCCGGGCGTCCAGCCGGGCTGGGCTCATCGGTCATTAGGTTTTTCCATTGTTGCCTCGGCATTGTCTGCCTGATTGTTTACCAGCCTTCTGGGCGCTCAGATAAGAAACGCCTCCCTTCCTTCGCCTTCTTTGGCGATCTCCATCGGGGACCTGGAAAAACACGGTCAGTGCCGGCGCAGCCCCGTCACGTGGCCGGCTGAAGCGGGACCAGGCCGTGGCTCTGGGACGGGATAGGAACGGCCAGGTCGGGAGGGGAGACTTCCTCGCCTTAAACAGACCTTAACTCCGGAGCTTGATGACAGAGTGGTGTGTCGGCGAAGAGAGAAAGGGAGACGGATGTAACCTTGGTCTAACCTTGGTCTAACCTTGCTCCAGCCTCCGCAGCCGCGTCCGGCCAGTGGGACGGGAGTGAGGGCTCCTCGCCCTCCTCAGGACCCCAGCTCCCCTCTCCCAGCAGAGCCTGTGGCTTTCACTCTGGGTTTGGCCGTGAGGGTCCGCCGTCTCAGGAAACCCTCTCAGTTCAGATGCTCATCGCCCCGTCGGGGCGCGCGTGTTTGGGGCCACTCGGTCTTTTTTCAGCTCGATGGCCTGTTTTTACTAAAGTTCACCCAGGGATGTTTTCCCAGAGAAATGCTTACTGCTGGGGGAAAGGGGATATTTAAAAAGTAGTCACATTACCCGGCTGGTGTGACTCAGTGGTCGAGCGTCGACCTGTGAACCAGGATTTGTTTGATTTCCGGTCAGGGCACATGCCCGGGTTGTGGGCTCCATCCCCAGTGTGGGGCGTGCAGGAGGCAGCTGATCGATGGTTCTCTCTCATCATTGATGTTTCTATCTCCCTCTCCCTTCCTCTCTGAAGTCAATAAAATTATATGTATTTTTTAAAAAATAGTTGTATAGGTGAGGGTTTAAATGCTAATTTCACCACTCACTTCTCTGCGGCTCAGGTTCTACAAATGACCATAATGCTTGTTGGGAAAGAAGGTGCGTGATGAATGTTAGTGCTCCTTTCTGCCCAAGGAGCCTCTCCTACACATGCACACTCACGCACACACATGCACATACACATACATGCACACTCATATGCACACTCATGCATGCATGCATATGCACATGCCCACTCGCACACACATGCATACTCATACACACGCACACTCACACATGCATGCATACACAGATGCACATGCACACTTGCACACATGCACATACATGCACATACATGCGCACACGCACACGCACACACACACATACACACACACACGTGTGAGCGCCCAGCCCCCGAAAAGGAGCAGCACCGAAGGGGAGAGACCCACAGGCCTGCTCACTGCATGTGCCAGGGGAGCTCCCTTTAAAATCGCTCTTCTAACCACTCGCGGGCCAGAGGTGCTCTGTCGTTATTGCGTCTACAAGTGATGTGAGCGGACAGTGGCGTGGGTGACGTGCCCTCCCTCATCCCCTCTGAGCGGCCGCGGCTGTGGGGCTGGAGGACGTCACTTTCAGAGCCCCCGAGTGTCCATCAGGCCGAGGAGCTGGGGGGCCAGCTGTCTCCCCTCACGAGCGTGATGAGGAGACTGAGGCCTGAGAGGGTGGGAAGGGGCAGCGTGAGTTCAGCTGTTCCCTGACGGGAGGGGGGGCCACGGAATGGGGGTCCGCCCTGGACTGAGACCACCCTTCCCCCTCCTCACACCCCGAAGCCTCCTCCGTGGAGGTCCCCTTGCTTCTGGGCGTTGGCTCAGCCTTGGCGAAGCCCCTCTGGCAGGTGAGGCCCCGAAGGCGCCCGCGCTGTGGGCACTGTGGGCGTGGCCCTCTCGCCTGCCGCGGTGCGCACCCTGCTTGGATCTCACCCTAACCAGGAGGCCGCTCTCGTGCTAACGCCCAGCTTCTCATTGGCTTGTTTCCAGAGCAAATCATGGAGGAAGATAAAGAACATGGTGCACTGGTCTCCCTTCGTCATGTCCTTCAAGAAGAAGTACCCCTGGATCCAGCTGGCGGGACACGCAGGTAGCGGCTCCCGGCTTCTCCCTGGGGGTCGCCCAGCTCGTGGCGGGTGGGGCTTGGGGGTTGGGGGTGAAAGTGGCCAATCAGCTTCTCTGAGACTCGCAGCGGCAGCGGCAGCCATGCTCTCGAGATGTGGCCCTAACGCTGCTAGCAGATGCACAGCTGCCATCCCCTCCCCAAACACGCACCCCCCGGTCTTGGTTCTTTTAGTCTCTCTTAACTCGATAACACAGATGACGTTGTAGGCCCCCATTTGTCATCTGGGACAAGGAGGCAACGTCTGCGCCTTCATTGAGCATCTGCTGTACCCCATCGCCCGGGGTCGCAACATCAGTGAAAATGCAGCATCTGCTGGAAGGGGGCTGTAGGTGGGAGACGGGTGGCATGCTGGGTGCGGGTGCCAAGGCACCAGGCAGCCACGTGGCTCTAGTTTGCTTCTCAGTGACAGGGGGAGGGGCACCTGGAGCCGAGCCCGGAGCTGCCCGGGCCACACGGGGCCCTTTGGTGGCGTCCTCCGGGGCATTCAGTGGCTGTCCGTGGCCTGGCCTTCATCATCAGCCAGCACGGGGCCTGGCGTTTCTCTTATACCCCAAGCACATGGCTCAGCCCAGGCTCGGGGATGGACGCACTCCCTAGGTGCCCCCTGAGGGTGTGCTCGGCAGGGGCATGGCCTGGGGGGCGAGCGTGGACCCGGCTCTCAGCCAGGCTGCTTCCTGGCACTGAGCCAGTCCTAGCGGGGTTTCTCCTGAGACCAGAGACGCCTTCGTTGCCCGAGAAGCAGGAGTGGTGATGGGTGTGGGATGGGGATGGCAGTGGAAATGCAGAGAGAGAGTAAGCCTTGGCACAGACCTGCCACTGGCCCTGCCGCCCTCCAGCAGTGAGCGCTGGTCCCTCCATCGTCAGATGGAGTTGCCGTCAGTGTGGGGGCTGGGACGTGCACCCCCTCCTCTCAGCGTGCTCGGTCCACAATGGAGACCTTCAGCCCTGCGCTTTGCAAGCCCGAGGGGCACAGGCCCGGGGTGCGGGGCCGTGGGGAGCCCTGTGCTGAGGCCCTCGCTCTGCAGGGAGTTTCAAGGCGGCTGCCAACGGCCGGATCCTGAAGAAGCACTGTGAGTCGGAGCAGCGCTGCCTGGACCGGCTGATGGCCGACGTGCTGAAGCCCTACGTGCCGGCCTATCACGGGGACGTGGTGAAGGACGGGGAGCGCTACAACCAGATGGACGACCTGCTGGCCGACTTCGACTCGCCTTGCGTGATGGACTGCAAGATGGGCGTCAGGTGAGCCAGGCTCCTCCGCGCCCGTGGCAGATACCGGGACGGCATCCGGGTGCCCCCGGGTCCTCGTGGGTGCATGGGCGGGCCCGGGGGTCTGGTTGGACCCTATCCTCACCCTAGCCATGTCCCATTACGTGCAGAGGGGACTGGGACCCTGGCTTTGACCCCGATGGCTCCCCCACTCGGGTGAGCTAGGGTGGGGCAGGAGCACTAGCTGGTGGGGCCCAGTTTGGTGCTGAGTGTCCCCAGGGAGGGGCAGAGGCCCGTCTGGTCCAGGGGCTGCGGGGGTAGCAAGGGGTGGCTTCCTGTTACGTGAGCTTCGAGGGGATGCTCTTCCCATCCCCCAGGGTGCTTCAGGCCCTGGGCCCAGCACATTGGCCAAAAAGGTTACCTGGGCCCGTGTACAGCATTGGGCCACCCCCTCCTCCCCAGGACGCAGGCTCCCCCTGATGTCTGCCCAGGACATAAGCAGGAGAGGGGCTGGGAGGAAGGAGGGGAGGAGACTGGGCCAGAGCCTGGGTTAGAGGGGAGTGGAACGGGAGGCGCTGAGACCCCGCCCTCAGCCCTGGGCCCTGCTTGGCTGCCCGGTTTCCTCGTCCCCTCCCGAACTTGGACCCTCAATCCCGGGATCGCCATGCGGCTCCCTCTCCTGCTGGGCCCAGGGTGGGGGCTCGGCGTGGCTGTCGGCCTCATGGTGCCCCGTGCGCTGTGGCCGGAGAGCCGCCTGCTGCCGGGGCCGGGCAGGCAGGCCGGACACTGGCCCTCCGCTCGCCGGGCAGGCCAGGCTGCGAGCTGCACACTCGGAGCGGAGCTTGTTTGCTTTGGATGGTTAAGCAGTTTTATTTCTTATAAAGGGAAATGGAGGAGGATGGGAGAGAGGGAGACACAGAGAGAGAGAGAAGCCAGGAGGCCACGGACACCCGCTTTCCTTCTCACTCCTCCGGGCGCTGAGTCCTAAAGTCGGACCCGCAGGCGGACGCTGTGCTGGGCTCCGTGGTGCTGACCCAGGGCAGGGCAGGTGGGAAGTGCAGGTCCCGCTGTGCTCTCACACTGTCCCTGCCTCCCTGCGCTCTCGGGCCCTCGCCAGCTGCAGCCCACAGGGAGGAGACGACGTCCCCGTCCCTCCGGCCACCACCTGGCACTGCCCTTCCCCAGAGTCATTTCTGTCCCAGGAAGCGCCCCTCCCTGTCCCTGGGGCACCAGGACGGAAACTTATAAATAACCTGGTTGGTGTCCATTCAGACCCAGCCAGATAGCGTGCACCCTGGGGAGAAGATATAGTAGTTGGTTCTGAAAGGGGCTGTGCCTCACTGCTCCCTGGGAGGCCGCTGGGCACACGGGCCCCTCTGCCCAGAGCTGCCCTGCCCCCATCTCCTGTGCTTCTGCCCACGGCACCCAAGGGCTCTCAGAAGGGCCCAGAGTGGGCTAGTGAGGCTGCCCCACCCAGCTCCACCTTCCCTGCCTTAGAATGGCCCCTTCTGTGTCCCCGGGTGCTGTGCTGGGTATTCCCAGGTGCTGTGCTGTGCATTCCCAGGTGCTGTGCTGGGTTCCCCGGGTGCTGTGCTGGGTATTCCCGGATGCTGTGCTGGGTGCCCCGGGCACTGTGCTGGGTTCCCCGGGTGCTGTGCTGGGTGCCCCAGGTGCTGTGCTGGGTATTCCCGGGTGCTGTGCTGGGCACCCCGGGGCGCTGTGCTGGGTGCCCCGGGTGCTGTGCTGGGTGCCCCAGGTGCTGTGCTGGGTTCCCTGGGTGCTGTGCTGGGTGCCCCTGGGCCTCCCTAGGTCTGAGCTTTGACACGGGAGGTTAAGGGACCCTCAGGGCCATAGTCCCAAAGCGGCACAGCCCTCACTTGCCCGGCCTCCACCTGTGCTGGCCGAGCCGGGACTCTGCCGTTTCCCTGCGTCGTGCGGAGCCCTTGGCCTCACGCCTCCCCCAAGGCCAGCATTCCCAGTCCCAGGCCCCAGAGCGTGGCTGTGCTTGGCAGAGGCGGGAGGTGGGAGGCGAGAGCCCAGCGTCTCCCCCGGGCACAGGGTGAGACCTGTCACCGAGCAGCGGTGGGAGGCAGAGCACGGAGCATAGGGGGGGCCTGCAGAGTCCTAACTAGAGGCGCCTCGGGCCCCGGGCCCACGTGGACCTGCACACACGCTGCTCTGGGGACTTCCTTAGACTTGACCCTGTGCCTCTGTCACGTGACCTGCCACTCAGAGTCAGCGTGTCTTCCTGGCATCGGGCCAGGGACTGGGGTGGAGACCAGCGCCGTCTCCTGCACCTCTGCCATGCGCGGAGCTGTAGCTGGCTTTGGGGTGTCACCTGTTGGCTCTCCACCGCCCCCCCCCCAACCCCCCACCCGCCATATGAGATGGAGGTATGACCTTCCCAGGGGGTGGGGGCGTCAGGCAGCAGGGCAGCGTGGGTGGCTCCCTGCCGGCCCACAGCCCCGTCCAGCGGTGCCTCCTGTGGGCATCCCTGCCCAGCCCTCTCCCTCCCGGAGGCGAGCAGCGCTGCCCAGAGCGCAGGCCCTTTTGGGAAAAGCCTGTGTGGCAGGGCTTTCACGGCGAGGCTGCTTCCTGTTTGAGGAGCTCCGAGGGCTCTTTGCAGAAGTGGGGCCGCCCACCACCCGCGGCCCTACAGTGCGTCAGGGACGTTTGGGGAGCACCCCTGCCCAGCCATCTGCACACACAGGCCCGCACGCAGGGCTCGGTGCAGACGCAGCCGCCCTGCCTCCCAGCTCTCATCGCCGGCTGGCTCAGCACGCACCGTGGTGTGAGCACGTGTGGGCGCGGGCGCGGGTGCAGGTGGTCAGCCAGGGGCCGGCTCCTGACGCCCTCACCACCTCCTGGAAGGTCAAATGACCAGGCCCAAGGTCACACCCAGGGGTCTGGGTTTTTCTTCATCAGTTGATGAACAGTGGATTCTGGGAAAGTGTCTCTACAAGGCATCGTGCATTTGACATGCAGTCTGCTGGGTCCTGACCGGCAGCTCGGGGTGTGGGGGGAAGTACGGAGTGAGGCCAGGACAGACGGGCGAGTGGGAGCGCCGGTTGCCACCACAGGCTGCGTGTGGGCCGCTCCGCCCACGCAGGGCCCGGGACGAACTTCCCTCTCCACGTCGCGCTGCACATGGCTGTCCCGTGAGGGGTCACTGGGTGGCCGGGGAGGAGGGGAGTTTGCAGGGGGGCAGGGAAGGGGTTCAGTCTCGGGCTGCTGTCCTTTACCATCCCTGCTGCTGTCCCCCCTAGTGTCCAGGGGACCCCACGCCCAGGTCAGCTGCGGGCCCAGCCTGCCTTGCAGAGGGCGGGATCCTGTGCTGGTCATTTGGACACATTTCTCTGGCTTTTTGGGCTGGGGCTCAGGCGAGAGGGGGCGGGATGGACTGAGGCCTGGTGGCCACGGGGCAGGATGGGCAGGGGCGTCTCCGCAGCAGCACGGAGGCCACGGAGCCCCGGCTTTGTCTCCTGTCCTGGGTGTCTCCCTCCAGGCCTGTGGCCCCTGGAGAAGCCACCTTCTGGCCTGACCGTTACTCAAGAGTCATCTAAGGCAGCCGTCGCCAACCGGGGGTCCGTGAGGTCCAAAAGGTTTGGCGACGGCTGATCTGAGGGCCGGCCCAGCCCCTCAGGCTGCCCCAGAGCTGGGAGCCGGAGCTGGGTGGGCGGGGGACCGACAGGCACGGCCTTCAGAGGGTGCTCTGGGGAAGGCCCTGGCCGCGGAGAGGGGCAGCTGGTGCCTCTGCCCGTGGCCCCTGGTGCCCAGCAGCGGCCTCACCTGGCTGCCCCGCCCCGCAGGACCTACCTGGAGGAGGAGCTGACCAAGGCCCGGAAGAAGCCCAGCCTGCGGAAGGACATGTACCAGAAGATGGTCGAGGTGGACCCCACGGCCCCGACCGAGGAGGAGAACGCCCAGCGGGCCGTGACCAAGCCCCGGTACATGCAGTGGAGGGAGACCATCAGCTCCACGGCCACCCTCGGCTTCCGGATCGAAGGCATCAAGGTGAGGCCACCAGGGCGGCCAGTGCTCCCGGGCCCCACCCAGCTCCAGGTGGGGGGCGGGGGGTGGGGGCTGTGCTCTGCCCTGGGTCTCAGGCCCCTGCCGAGGCCCCGCTCCTCTCCTCCGCACGGGCCTGGTGTGGGCAGCCCGGGGCGGAACTTTAGAGAAACTGTCCTGCTCCTCAGGCCGGGACAGGCAGGTGGCCATGAAGGGCGCTGGGCTTGGAGCAGGTGTGGCTCCAGTTCTGCCCAGATGAGTCCCTGCTAAGGACTCTGCCCTGAGCCCAGGCCATCCTGGGCCCTGGGAACCCACGGGGAGGCAGGTTGTAGGATGTGGTGGGGGAGCTGGCCCCTCCACCCAGGACCCGGGATCCGGGGTCGGGAGTGAGATGCAGGCCCTGGAGGGAGCGCACGGGCCGCCTCCACGTCCACGCCAGGGGGGGTGGGGGGGGGGCGGCTGCGCCCAGGCTGCAGGACCAGCACTGCCCCTCGTGTCCCCAGGGAGCTCTGCGGAGGCTGCACGGAGCCCCCCAACGCCAGGGCCGCCCCTTCTCTCTTCAGTCTCCCCAGAAGGGTCTCAGATGCTCTCCCTATGCCCCCCCTTGCTGTGGGGCTTGAAGAGCGAGTTCAGTCACCCCCAGAGCAGGGCTGAGAGGCGTGGCCTGCAGGGTCTCCGGCAGCCTGCCCCCCCCCCCCCAACCGGAGGGCGGTCCCTGCAGGGTTCCTGGTTTCTGTTGTCAGTCACTCACTCTCGGCCCTCCTGGCCCAGCTGTAGAGTCAGTCGGGTCAGGGCTGGGCGGTGGGGGCCCTGCTGCGGCAGCTGCAGCCTGGCGGGCTCCGCAGCGCCCTCCGATGGCGTTTAGGGGTATGGTTCTGCCGTTGGGGTGCCCTGCAGCTGACGGTGGTGAGCCGGTGTGTCCGCCTCCCCGGACAGCTGCTCTGCGAGCCGTGGGCCCCTCCCCGTCTCCCAAACCAGCTTCTCTGTTTCACATCCAGCCTCCGGCTGGGCGCACCCCGCAAGCTCGGCGTCTCCCCCACGCTCATTGCCCTTTCCCTCCTGAGACGCCCCGCCTTTCCCGTCACGGCTCCCTCCTCCTGGATGTCCTGGGCTCTGTCCCTGGTCCGGCTGCGGGGACAGCCAGCCGCCCACCTGCTGGGGCACAGGCCACCGGCTCAGAGAGCAGCCCTGTCTCACCAGCAGCCCCTCCCTTCGGTGCGGGAAAGGCTGATGCGAAGTCCGCCCGCACCCGCCACCCGCCCGCACTCGCCCCTGTGCCCGCAGGTGGACACCTCGCTGCCCAGGGCCAGGCCTGGCAGGCGCGGCTTTCTCAGACCCCTGGGGGGTGAGCCGGGAGCCTGCCCCCCTCCCCCCGGCCCCTGCTGACCCCTCCCGGCTCCTCCTCAGAAAGAAGACGGCTCGGTGAACCGGGACTTCAAGAAGACCAAGACGCGGGAGCAGGTCACCGAGGCCTTCAGAGAGTTCACCAAGGGGAACCCTAATGTCCTGGTGAGTCCGGGCACCGGGGGAGCGGGGGGGGGCTCGGCAGAGTGGGGTGCCCACTCCGCAGGGACGCAGCCGGCCACAGCGCAGTGGCCACGGTGCCCACACAGAGCCCGACCCACGCTGCTGCTGGGAAGGTGAGAGGAAGGTGAAATGGTTGCCAGCCCCATTCTGCGGGCAAATGGGGAAGCTCGGCGACACTCACTCACTCTCCCTCGCTGCCACCTCGCGGCTCCCAGAGCGTTCTCCGTCCTTTAAGAGCCGTCCTCTCCGGCGCTGGCTCTCCTCCGCAGCCGCTGCGGCCAAGCGCTGTGCTCAGTGCTCGTCCTCATGGCAGCCTCTGGCGCGGGTGGAAGTTCTTGTCCCCATTCCACAGATGAGGAAACAGAGGTCACAGTCACACGGCTAGGGCAGGACGGAGAGGGGTCACCGAGCTGGCAGCCGGCTGGCCCCTGCACCTGGCCCTCCCAGGCTGTGAGGCTGAGCGAGGGAAGGGGGGGTCACAGCTCCTCCCCGGGAAGAGCCTGTGAGCGTCTCTCAGCCTGGAGGTGCAGGTGGCAGAAGTTCATGACACAGTGACTTCCCTGACGGATGCTCTGACCACTGGGATCAGGACCCCGACCCTCCCATCAAAAGCAGGGAGTCATGCCTCGCACCCCGGGGCTGGGAGCCCTGTGACAGTCCCACACGCAGGCACACAGCTGGGAGCCCTGTGACAGTCCCACACGCAGGCACACGGGCTGGGAGCCCTATGACAGTCCCACACGCAGGCACACGGGCTGGGAGCCCTGTGACAGTCCCACATGCAGGCACACGGGCTGGGTGCCCTGTGACAGCCCCACACGCAGGCACACCGGCTCGGTGCCCTGTGACAGTCCCACACGCAGGCACACGGGCTGGGAGCCCTGTGACAGTCCCACACGCAGGCACATGAGCTGGGAGCCTGTGACAGTCCCACACGCAGGCACACGGGCTGGGCACTGAGGCGCCCTCTAGCAGGGCTGCAGGGCAGGGAGGATGGGGCAGACACATTTTCTCCAAGGAGACAGGGCTGCTGGAGCTGGGACACTCCCTCCCTTTCCACTGGGGAGACTCCCCTTGACCCCTGGGCATGCACCCTCCCTTCCCCGGCCTGAGGCTCTGGGTGCCGGGCCACCAGCTCCTCACAGAGCAGCTGAGAAGCTGCTTCCTGTGCCCCGAAGGGAGGGGTCTGCTCCGGGGCCATGCCCAGCGGCTGGCCTGCCCGGTGGCACTGAGGGCTGCTGCGCCTGTGTGGCCAGGCTTCCCCAGCGTCCCTGGGGCAGGCGGCACCCCAGGCCACACATCGGCCTGTTTGTAGGGCTCCATGGAGAGGCCCCTGGGGAGGGCTGTGTGGCTCTCCCGCTCGCTCTGCCCTTTCAGAAGTCAGGGCGCTGACGTTGGTGTCAGGAAGACGCCGTGGCAACGGGCTCCCAGGGTGCTGCCTGCCCCTGCCCTGCATGCCGGAGTCAGCTTAGCCCCTTGTGAGCTGCACCGGCCTCGGGGCTGGGCCTCTCCCCCGGGGCCTGCGGAGCCATGTGGCCTGGGAAAGTGCGGCCAGGAGCCCAGCCCCGGGTCTGCTCTGGGCCTCCCCCTGACACGCAGTGACCCAAATGGGGCTTAAAACCCAGCCCCAGCCCCAAGTGTTTAAAGCCCGTCATCTTTCTCTCCCCAGATCGCCTACCGGGACCGGCTGAAGGACATCCGGGCCACCCTGGAGGTGTCCCCCTTCTTCAAGGGCCACGAGGTGGGTACTGGGCCGTGGTTGCCCTGGGCAGAGCTGCGCTCGTGTGGCTGGGGTGACCTGGGCCTGAGCGGTGAGCCCGCCTCTCTCACTAACACGTCTGCCTGCTCCAGACGCCCAAGGGGCGCTTTCAGGGTGACAGAGGCAGCCCCCCAGCGGGGACCGCGTCATCCGCTCTGCCAGGAGCCTGGGTGACCCCTCGGGACTGTCCTGCCTGAGGCCGGGCCGTGCCCTTCCTTCTCCCCGCCAGCCACCCCAGGTGCTGTGGCAGGACTTCAGTCCCACACGCCCGAGGGTGTCAGGGCAGGAGCTCTCCGAGCTGCTAGAACAGCCGAGTAACCCCTGTCACCCCGAGACCTGCAGGACCTCCTGCTCCCACCTCCGTCCGCAGGAAACCAGACACCTGAGAGAGAGGGTTTGGAAATTGTCAGCAGGTTCCTGGAGGGTTTATAACAGCGGTTCTCAACCTTGGCTGCACGTTAGAATCACCTGGGAATCTTTTTAAAATCCTGATTCTGGGCCTCGTCCTCCGGAAATTCTGTTTCTTTGTTATGGGGTGGGGCCACAACGTTAGTAACAAAGAAACAGAATTTCTGGAGGATGAGGCCCAGAAACCAGGATTTTAAAAAGATTCCCAGGCGATTCTAATGTGCAGCCAAAGTTGAGAACCACTGGTTTATAGGATCCTGACATCAGCCCCACGCACACGGGCAAACACGTGCACACACAGCTGCACACACACGTGTGCGCACACAGCTGCAGCCTCGGCGTGCCCGCCGCCCCCAGGAATGGTTAGGCTCTCGGGGGCCTTCCCTCCCCGTGGCCTCGCTGAAGGCCCGCTGTCCCGGGTCCTCGCTGCTCCTGGGCCTCTGTCTTCGCAGCTGGATGCAAGGTCTTTGTTCAGCCTGGAGCCTCCCTCGCTCCATCCTGCCTGCTTCTCTGGGGACGGGGCTCCCGGAGGCCTGGCCTGGAAGGACGGGGGCCTCAGAGTCGCCTGGGACCCCTTGGCAGCACAGGCTTTGTCTCGCTGCCTTGCTCTCTGCTCTCAGCACCTTTGCGTTAGTCCTTGAAGTTTATTTCTCTGTGCTCTTCGCGAGTCTCACTGGGAAACAGAAACTGAGGCTCTGTTATTTCTCACCCGGAAGAAGCCCTTTCTCTGGGTTCGGCATTTCCGGGGTCTCCCCTGCCCTGCCCAGAGCCCCCAGCCCTCCCTGCACCCCAGCTCCTGGCCCCATGTGGGTGACGGGGATGAGGGCCTGTGGCTGTTTCTACCTGGGAAAGCACTACCCATGCCGTTGCTCTGACCTGCCCAGAGCAGGGGGCCCTTTGGTGCTGCTGCCCCTGGCGAAACCATAGGCAGGGCCCAGCTTCAGACACCCCGCCAACCTCTGCCCAGGACTTGCAGGGGTTCCTTCTGGGATGGGGGCGATCCGGCCTCACTGCCTGCCATTCTGGGGTGTGTGTGTGTATTTGGACAGGGTCCTTCGTCCCCCCCCCCCCCCCCCCAGTGCAGAGTGTGGCATCTCCTTGGTACCCTCCTATCACATGGGCAGTTACTCAGGATGTTGGGGAGTCAAGGTCTAGGAGGGGAAGGGTGAGCCCTAAGTCTTAGCTGCGGTCTGCAATAGTGGAAAGTGTGCAGGCTGCGGGGTGGGGGGCGGGGGGCAGGGGGCGGAGAGACTCTGCCATCGGGACTTCCTCCTGCCGCTGCCCACACAGAGGGTGGCTGCTGTCTGGAATCCCATGTCCTCTGCCCCTCATGGTCTCTCCGCGGGCAGAGGGGCAGGCTCGGGCCTCACCTGAGCCACCTCTCCAGTTCCATCCGGTGTCCGGGTCCCCGGGAGCCAGGTGCAGCGGGAGGGGAGGGGAGGGGAGGGCAGGCGGCTCCGGCCCCCTCACCTCCCTGCTCCCTGCAGGTCATCGGCAGCTCGCTGCTCTTCATTCACGACAAGAGGGAGCAGGCCAAGGTGTGGATGATCGACTTTGGGAAAACCACGCCCCTGCCCGAGGGCCAGGCCCTGAAGCACGACGTCCCCTGGCAGGAAGGGAACCGGGAGGACGGCTACCTCTCGGGCCTGAACAACCTCATCGACATCCTGACGGAGATGTGCCCGGGCCCCGGCGCCCCTGTGGCCTGAGCCGCCGGCCCGCCTCCCCCCGCCTGGCCTCCCTCCTCCCCCTCCCGCCTTCTCCTCCTGCGCGTTCTTTCACGTCCACCGGGGTGCCAGCCAGAACTGACCCTCCAACTGCACTACAAGACACTCTGCAGAGGAGACGAGGCTTTCTAGTTCTTTTCCTACTGAAGGGCTTTGGCGCTGGGCTCCCATTTCTCTCCGTAAGCAGGTCTCCTTCTAGAAGCGCAGTGCCCACGCCAGGCTCCGCTGCCCGCTGCCCCCGGGGGAGGTCAGTTGGGCTTCCATCTGGCGGGAGGCTCGGGGCCCGGGGTGCCGCGCCTCCGGGTGGGCTACCTGTGGGCGCTTGCTGCCCCCTGGTGGCCAATGCCATTAGTGCCGCTGCCCAGCACAGCCAGTCTGCCCATCCTCCCGGGCCCGCTGGGGCTGTAAGAGCCTGTTTCAGCGGCTGCCTGGTGCCCGGCTCTCTCGTGTTTGGGGCACAGAACCACCGGGAACGCGTGTCGGCCCTGAGTAGAGCACCTCCGATGAGCAGCCGGGGCTCCAGGACGTGTGGGGCCTTCATGGTCCCTTTGCGGTCGGTGTTGAACTCCTCCAGCGTTGGGCCGGGCCCGGGAGCCAGGAGCAGGCTGTGCCCCCGGGTGTTGCCTCCCCAGTTCTTCCATCTGCGGTTCTCGCCCATGACTTCAGAGCTTCCAGGCCGCCGCCCACCCTGAGCCAATTGTGCTGCCCACTGCCCCCTGGCCTGTGTGACATGCCGGGGGTGGGCCAGGGCCAGGCAGCCCGGGGGAGAGAGACCTGCATCGGACACGCCTGCCCTCACCACTCCCCCCTCCCGGGTGGCACTTGGTGGCCCTGCCTGCTCGCCGGGGTTCTCTCGTGAGGCCCCGAGTCTCCTGCAGCTCTGGGCAGGGTTCAGGCCAGCCCTGGGCAGGGAGGAAGCCGCAGGAAGCCGGCCCCTGGCATCTGTTTTCCCCCCTGAAATAGGTCTTACATCCTGAAGGGCTGAGCCCTGTACTTCCCGTGTGGTGTGGGCAGGTCCGGGGCACATGTGGCGCTGGGTGTGCCAGCATCTCTTCCTGGGGACCAGGTCGCTGGAAGGCTGGTGGGGACCCAGCTGTGAGCCTTATTCTAATTGTAAAGCAAGTGAGCGTGTATCACCGAGAGGGGTGTGAAACTTGCGTGACTTTTGAAGGCAGAGTCCCGGCTGTGGCCATGTAGAGCAGTGCCCCGGGGCCCCCCTTGTTGTTGGGGGAGAGTTGGGGAGCAGGCCAGCAGCCACTGGGGCCAGCTCCTCCACGGAGCGCAGCTTCGGGGACACGTGGAGACCGTGGTGCGCCCAGGTGTGCGTACCTGCAGGGACCGACCCAGAGGAGGGCTCCCCGTCACCCGGGGCCTCGGGGGGAGCTGTCAGCTTCGCCCACATGACACGGTTCCCCTTTCACGCTGGGTTAGTGACAGTTGGTGGGGGCGGAGGGTGGGGCGCGAGGATGTAGAAGTTCAGATTTTAAAAAAGGAAATCACTTTTCAACTTCCTGGCTCTTGTTCAAAACAGGGGTGAGCTCTGGTGTGGGCCGACCTGCTAAAGGTCGCACCCCCGCCCCACCACCTGGTGATGGGCACGTGAACCAGGAGGCTGAGCCCCAGCCGTGTCCGGGGGGGTAGGGGGTGGGGGGGGCTCACTAAGGCAGCCGCCAGGGCTCTAAGCTGCGGGCTGGCCAGCAGTGACCTCCTGTCTAGGACGAGTTTGTTATCCAGCACATTCCTGCTATGAACAAAGCGCCTGGGACCAGCGTCCCTACTAAGAGAACGAGGAGCACTTTAGCGGCAGCAGCGGCTGCAGACGCTGCGCTGATGGGCAAGGGGTGGTTAGTGAAGGACCCGGCTGCTCGGCAGTCCTGGGCTTTGTGGCATTTACGTGTGAAATTGGCATCTTTTCAGGGCTGTGCCTTTAGGGGCGGGTCTGTATTTACTGTGCTAGTTCCCTTCCAGCACCTCCTCTCTCACCCTTTTCCCCTCTGACCTCCCACCTCCTTCCACGACCCTGGAGTGAATTTCCCAGGAGCTCCCCCCGGGCTGTCTGAATGGCCTTCCCCACCCAGCCCGGTGCAGGCCTGGACCCTGGGGCTGGCCACGCCGGTGCGAGGGGGAGCATCCTCCCTGCCTGTCCTGCCCTCACCCCCTCCCCCTGCATTCTTGGGGTTCAATACTGCTTGGCCTTCGAGGAAGGTTTTCTCACCCGCTCGGCCCGGGCTTGCCTTGAGAGTCATGTAAGAAGTTTTAAGTTATATTTATTTTGTTGTTGTTGTTAATTGCACAAAACACTAAGACTGAGGCTGGATCTGTGTCTCCTCTAAGCTCCGCCTTCTTCCTGAACCTCCTTTCCTGCTGGGGGGAGCCCGGATGCAGCCCCCCCCCCCCCAGCCTCATTAGCTGTATTTAGCTTTGAATTCCTCTGCGTCCACCCGGTCACCCCTTGTGTATACATAACCCAGCCTTCCCGGGAAGGAGCAGAGTGTCGCCGAGCCAGTGCCTTTTCTCTGGAGGGGAGGACGCCCCGAGGGGTCTCCTGCCCTCTGCACCCCGCTCCCCGAGTCACCGTGGAGAACACTGAACTGTTACAACCCGCACAGGCCTGTCAGACAGGCTGCCGCGCTCTGTACCTTCCTAATAAAGGCCTGGAGACCACCGTGCTGTCTGCAGTCTGTCCTCCCCCGCCCTGGAGGGGGGGGGGGTCGGGAGGGGCCTGGAAGCTGGAGGATTGAGTCGGGCTGTGATGACCTGCGGAACAGGGGTCTGATTGAACAGCGTTTTAATCTGCAAAGGATTTAAGACGCGCTCCAAAGCTAGTCTTTGCTGCCTCTTCCACAAAACCTTCAGCGTAGCCCAGGGCCCCGACCAGCCACCAGCCATGCTTCCCCGGCATTGCCCCCCAGGCTGGGGAGCCCCTACAGCCTCGGGGGGCTCACATCTACAGTCTCCTTTTTAAAAAAAAAATATATTTTATTGATTTTTTACAGAGAGAAAGGGAGAGGGATAGAGAGTTAGAAACATCGATGAGAGAGAAACATTGATCAGCTGCCTCCTGCACACCCCCCAGTGGGGATGTGCCTGCAACCAAGGTACATGCCCTTGACCGGAATCGAACCTGGGACCTTTCAGTCTGCAGGCTGACGCTCTATCCACTGAGCCAAACCAGTCGGGGCTGCAGTCTCCTTTTTAAAAAATACGTTTTTATTGATTTCAGAGAGAAAAGGAGAAGGAGAGGGATACAGAAACATCGATGCTGAGAGAGAATCACAGATTGGCTGCCTCCTGCACGCCCCCTATTGGAGATAGAGCACGCAATCTGAGCACGTGCACTGACTGGGAATCAAACCATGACCTCCTGGTTCATGGGCCGACGCTCAACCATTGAGCCATGTTGGTCGGGCTCTGGTCCCCTTTTATCCCGGTTTCAACTCCATGAACAAGGCTGTGTCGTCTCCATTTTACAGATGGGGAAACTGAGGCTTCAGAGATCAAATACCTTGACCTGGGGAGTAAGTGGGAAGCGGGGATTCGAATCCAGAAATTGCCTGGTTTCCAAACCGATTCTGTCTTCCTACCTGGGAGTGTGTGGGGGGCACAGGGCTTGGCCCAGGTCCCAGGGGTGGGGCCGAGCTCTGGCCGCCCAGACCCTCAGTCAGCCCGGGAGTGTGTGTGTGTGTGGCGGGGGGGGGGGCATGGGGAGGGACCCTGAACCGGGAGCCCTCTGACCCTCGGGCACTGTGTATCCCAGGCTCTGTGACCTCAGGGAAGCACAGCCCTGCCGCCCTCTGTCCCCTCAGCCCTGGGACACAGACTCAAGTCACCATTGCCCCTCCCCGACCCACCACAGCAGCCGCAGTGATAGGGCAGCAGATGAGGCCACGCTCTGCGGTCACCTGGCTCATGGCCTCCCACAGAAAACCCAGCCTGACAGACTGACCTGTAGACCCTGAGCGACGGGCGAATGATGACTCTGACACACGGTCTGTGAAAGAGAGGCTAAGGGGCTGCCTGGCTAAAGGGACGCAGCAGCCCAGTTCGCCTGCCTCCTTCGGCTTTTGTTGCAGCAACAGCTTGAACTGAAATTAACCCCTAGATACAATCAGCTGGGCAAGCATCCTTGAGAAAACACATGCATCTGCAGTCTTTCAAACAAGGACTCTGAAGTCTAAACATAGAGATTCCAGTCAATGCCCGGGTTCAGGCTTGTTTGGAAAAGTCAAGGCAGGGGCTGCCGCCTCGGTAAGGTCCCCCAGAGGCCCCCGGCCTTTCAGGGAATCCTCCTTACAGACCTTCCAACCAAGCCCCGTGCTTCCCACACCAGCACATCCCAGTTCTCGCAAACACCCAGAACAGCGGGCATCTGTCCTGCGTGGCCGGCCTGCTCCTGGCACTCGGGGGCCCCCGCTCAGCCTGAGGGGACGCCTTCCGCAGAGAAGTGTGGAGGGAATAGCAGATGGCCCCGGGCAGGGGTCACTCTCAGCAAATGGGAGGGTGGCAGGGTTTTCGTAAAAGCAAAGGAGAAATAGTCTGATAGCATGCTGACGACAAGAACAAGGTAACAAGGGAAGCGGCTCCCTGAGTAGGTGCCGGTCTCAGCCGGCTTGGGCTGCCCTACGGACACCCTGGCCGGGCGGCTGGACACAGACATGCAGCTCTCCTTCCGCGGCTGGAGGCCAAGGTCAAGCTCTGCAGGGTCTGGCCTCTGGGGGGCCCCTCTTCCTGGCTGGCAGGTGGCCGCCTTCTCAGGGTGTGTGTGTTTGGGGCGGGGGGGGGGGGGGGGAACTCTGGCGTCTCTTCCTCACTACAGCCCCGTCATGATGGCCTCACTTTACCTTTCTCGGGTCCTCACAGGCCCCTTCTCCAAACACCATCGCGTGGGGTTAGGGATCAGGGGGTGTGGGGGGCACAGGCATTCAGCCACAGCAGTGCCCTTCTTGCTAACTAACTTCACGCGCTGTTTCCAACCCCACCCTCCGCCTGTACCCCCCACACTTGTGAGTAAAGCAGGTGGGGTGCAGGGGGAGGGGTGCCATGCTCATCTCTGGTTTTCAATGTGGCAACGTGTCCTTGGGTTGTTTTAAAAATAGTTTCTGCAAATCATGGGCAAGCGCATCAGGCTGAGAGAGTGTGCTGCCGCCAGCAGCCCTGCGCTAGTTCAATGGGGAACACGTGTGGGGAGAGCGAGTGACAGGGTCCCCGTCGGGGGAGGCCGCCCCCTTCTGGACGGCCATGTGCATTACAAGGCACCTGAAGTCATTCACCTTGCAGGTCTGGAAGCCCCATTGCCCAGGGGGCCTCCTCCCCCTTCCTCCCCCCAACCCCCCCCCCCCCCCCCCGTCCCTGATGCCCAGGGCGACAGCTCCTTCCTCTCGTCACTCGTCACTGGTCCCAGCCCAGCCACACCTTTGCCCTGACGAGCTGCTGAGACTGGTGAATTGCACTAATCAATGTTCAGATCTGAACCAGTCACACCCCCAGGGTCACCCTCCTGTGTCCTGGATGCAGAGAGCCCCCTGTCCAAGGAGCCCTTCGCCGTGGTCGTGGCTCTGCAGCTCGCGTGTTTGACAGATTGAGCACAGGACTGTGTATAGAACAGCCGTGGGCAAACTACGGCCCGCGGGCCGGATCCGGCCCGTTTGAAATGAATAAAACTAAAAAAAAAAAAAAGACCGTACCCTTTTATGTAATGATGTTTACTTTGAATTTATATTAGTTCACACAAACACTCCATCCATGCTTTTGTTCCGGCCCTCCGGTCTAGTTTAAGAACCCATTGTGGCCCTCGAGTCAAAAAGTTTGCCCACCCCTGGTAGAGAACCACAAAGGGGTGAATTTCAACATGTAAACCGTGTCTCAAAAAACCTAACTGAAAAGGTAATTGCCCTTCACCGTGGAGTTAAAGGCCTGGGACGTCCCCTCGGGCACCGTCCGCGTCTGGGAGTGATTCTGTCCGCTCCTGTCTCCCGCGTCACCACCGTTCATGCTTCGGTCGGCACCAGCTCCCAGAGGCGTGATGTGCATGCGTTCTTACTCCTCCTTCCACACGGTTGTTACTTGCAGAAACCAGGTGTTGTGTCTGCTCTGTGAGGCCCCAGTGTCGCTGGGAGGGTGTTTTATAGACGGGATCCAAGTCCGCCTCCCAGGCCTGACTCCGGCAGGGCAGCAGATGAGGCTGCGCTCTTCGGTCACCGTCCCTCACACCCTGGGCCTTGGCGCACACGCGCTTCCCACTCTCAGATGTCCCCAGACTCGCCCCCCGATGACCTGGGCCCCAGGGCTCCGGGCTGCCGAGGGGCCACCTCGAACCATGCCTCTTGGGTCTCCCACGAAGAACAAAGCCCGGGCCTGGCCAGGCGGCTCAGTTGGTTAGAGCGTCATCCCCGTGCGCCAAGGTTGCGGGTTTGCTCCCAGTGAGGGCGCGTGCAAGCATCAGCCAGCGAAGGCATGATAAGTGGGACGACACATCATGTCTCTCCCTCCCTCCCCTCCCCTAAAACCAGTAAATCTTGTTTAAAAGCCTGCGAGTGAGATGCTTTCGCTGGAGTTGCAAGTCGTTTTGGAAATCCCGGTCAGGCCACCAAAGCGCCCTGAGACGGGACTGGGCTGTTCATCCTGTGTTTGCTCTCTTCCTCTGTCTGCCCAGCGCCTCGCGGCCCGAGGGGACGTCTGGGGGCTCCCGGGCCTGCTGCCTGGGCTTCTTTGCGTGGCGAGTCCCCAGCCCTTCAGAGAGGCAGGAAGCCCATGGGAACAGCCTGCCTCTGTCCTAGAGAGGATTCTGCACAACGTGTTTCCCATGTCAGGAGGGAGGTGGGAGGTGGGGAAGGGACCAGGTGCAGGTGCGCTTCGTACAGGTGCTCGACCTGCTTCTGCTGCTCCTCCCGGCAGGTGCGTGACCCGCTTCTACTGCTCCTCCCGCCAGGTGCGCGACCTGCTTCTAACTGCTCCTCCCGCCAGGTGCGCCACCCGCTTCTAACTGCTCCTCCCGGCAGGTGAGGGACCCGCTTCTAACTGCTCCTCCCGGCAGGTGCTCGACCGCTTCTAAATGCTCCTCCGGCAGGTGCGCGACCCGCTTCTAACTGCTCCTCCGGCAGGTGCGCGACCCGCTTCTAACTGCTCCTCCGGCAGGTGCGCGACCCGCTTCTAACTGCTCCTCCCGGCAGGTGCGCGACCCGCTTCTAACTGCTCCTCCCGGCAGGTGAGGGACCCGCTTCTAACTGCTCCTCCCGGCAGGGGCGAGACCCGCTTCTAACTGCTCCTCCCGGCAGGTGCGCGACCCGCTTCTAACTGCTCCTCCCGGCAGGTGCGCGACCCGCTTCTAACTGCTCCTCCGGCAGGTGCGCGACCCGCTTCTAACTGCTCCTCCGGCAGGTGAGGGACCTGCTTCTAACTGCTCCTCCCGGCAGGTGAGGGACCTGCTTCTAACTGCTCCTCCCAGCAGGTGCGCGACCCGCTTCTAACTGCTCCTCCGGCAGGTGAGGGACCTGCTTCTAACTGCTCCTCCCGGCAGGTGCGGGACCCGCTTCTGCTGCTCCTCCCGGCAGGTGAGGGACCCGCTTCTAACTGCTCCTCCCGGCAGGTGAGGGACCTGCTTCTAACTGCTCCTCCCGGCAGGTGCGTGACCTGCTTCTAACTGCTCCTCCCGGCAGGTGCGTGACCT